CCACCGCCCACTGAGGGCCGGCGGCACCAACCGAGGGCCGGCGGGCGGGGCGCAGCGCCCCCCCCTTGCCGCGCGCCGCGGGGCGGGGCCGGCGCGGCCCTCGCGCCTCGGCCGTTGCGGTTCGGGCGTTGTGCGGCCGCGCGCGCCCCCGTGTGTCGCGACTGTCGCCGACGGCGGGCGATGGAGGAGCCGCCCCCGCCGCCCCCCGCCGCCAGCCCCGACCCAGCTGATCTCGAGGCTGTGTTTCAGGCCCTCGAGGAGATGCTTGCTTCGTCCCACCCTGAACTGGCTGCGTTTTTGGAGGTGACTTCGGCATAGCGATGGCTGGGGGTCTGCACGGAGGGGCTTTCAGTGTTGTCACGCGCCTGAGAAGTAAAGGCATCTTTAATTAGGGGTTTGCTTGCTAAATCAATATTTTAAAAAGAAGAGGGAATCAAAAGTATCCCGTGTTAATGAGCATGAGACGTGTTAACCTGTGTTGGCCAAGTTTGGCTGCTTATTTTCAGAGGAAAAATGCATAGTGCTGGTGCATTCGTGGTGATGAAGTACAAGCTTTTTGGGTTATAACATACTGTCTTTGATCTTAAATCAGAGAGTATTTTTGCCAAGGATTTTGGTTGAAAATTCAGGGAAAGGCTTTTTGTTGAAAATTCAGGGAAATGGTTAGATTGAGTTACCAACTTTCTGTTTTCTGCGGAAAATACAATTCATGAACATTTGGTTGGTATAAAGCATCTTCAGTTGTTTGTGGTATCCTGCAGGTTGTGACTGTCCTTTGCTCTACCTATGCCTGGTCCTCCCTGTGTACAAAACTGTAAGTCTCATGTGCAGTGAGGGGCATGGGAGAGGTCACTCTCTTGTGGCACCAAATGTGGGCTCTCTTTCTTTTGGTTTTCAACACAAAGGAAAAGCAAGAGGTTCTCAGCATCTGTTGCTGCTGCACAAGATCTGCCTTGCATGTGGGTGCTCGAAATTGCCATGTTGGTATATGTGCTGAAGCTACAGTTGGTTGTTCTCTCAGTATCTTGTTGCCTTCAATAAACTTTCTAGCTTGGAGATCTAGCTGATGCAAACTTCCTACTATTGGTCTCCACGTTACGAAGATTAGTCATCTTCCTTTTGGGTGTCTCTCCAGAAAGAGCTGTATATTCCAATCAAAGCTGTATATTCCAATTCCTGCAAAGCTCCAGCCTGGACTGGACTCTTCTGCTCAGTGCTGTGTACGGAAGAGTACCTCCTTTCGCTAGTGCATATGGAGGTGGCAGGATTCCTTCCTTAATGCCTACTCAGTGTATTGTCTTGCCTGCACTTTGAACTCTGGCAGTTTTGACAGCTTTTGAACTGCACTTTGAGAAGTGTATCTTTTCCATTGTTGAAGGCCTTTGGCAGTTGGGGTCTAGACTTCCTTGTTAGGAACAGAGGGATTAAGTGTGTGAGCCATGGAGTTGTTGGGGAGCAGGTGTTTTGGTTTTAAGGCCTCATGACTTGTGTAATTACTGAGAAGGATGATGTTGGTCCTGGATGTGAAGTGGTTAAAGACTTGGAGCAATTTGGGGACTATTAGGCCTTTTGTTTGAAAGATTCTCTCTTTTTATTAGAAATGTTCTTTCTCTAACTCTTGCATCTTCTCAGACTTTCCTGGAGAGTTCTGTTTCTGTATTAGCACAGGTCTTTTTGCGTATTACAATACAGCTTTGCCAAATAATGTCTCTGTATTTCTATTAATATGCACAGGCATTGCCTTTTGAAGTATCTAAGGTTGAGTAAGGTCAGACTTAAGGTGAGAAGTGCGATTTTTTGGAATTACCCATGTCTTATTACCCAGTTTGATGCTCTTTGATTGCAGGGCGTGCACAATCACCCATCTTTAGGATACTGTTGGATAGGCTGTTCACAGAAGAGATATTCTTGAACAGGTCATAGTGAGAATATCTTTATGGCTAAAAGTAAATTCTAGGTACTTAACTTTGGCCCTTAATTTCCTCAGTGGAATAAAAACCTAGCTATGTTGTCTGGCTTTCTGGGATTTTTTGACCCTACAGATTTGTGTCATGATCATGGAAATGTACCCATTCAGTAAATGGTTGCCTGCAAAACATATACAGAGTGGTAGCAGAGGGCTCCAAAAAGAAAGCAACATATTACAATTTAATGACTTAGCAAATGAATGGGGTGAGCTGAGGTTCCCAGCCAGATATATGTGGCTCATGTGTACAGTTTTGCACCACACAGCCCTTTGCAGTGGTTTGAGCGAGATCTCTTGTTAACAATACATGTGTTGGTAACTAAGAGGGCACCTGGATTTTTCCTGGCTTGTTCCTTATAGAAAGTGTAGTGAGCGAGGGCGCAATTCAGACTGTGAGGAGATGTACTCTCACTTGGTATATTCTAGTTTTCTGATTTCATGTTTTGATTAATAGGACACTTTGTAAGAGCCTGAGTTTCAATTTGGCAACCTTCTGAATTTAAAACACTTACCATGTAAACCACCTGAGCAGTGTTCACCTTGTGTTACATGTCTTTTTGGAGGGGAGAAGAACAGTTATTACTGTGTCCCTAAAGAGATTACAAGAAAATATGGAGTGATCTCTGGGTTTATATTTTTTTTTCTATTCGTTTCTCTTTTAAGGAGAATATCATGGGTCAATGTGAACCTTCAGGAAGTGAACCTGTGAGTGTCACGGTAGAAGAGAAAACTTCAGCTGGCAACGTGAGCTGTGGGAACAATTCCCCCGAGCCAGAGGGCCCTGGTAAAAAGAGAGTCTGCATGTTTTTAGAGATGACTGAGACAGCTACTCTGAGCCTGACTTTTACAGAAAGGGGAGAGCGGAATAGTCGATCCAAGAGCTGATGGTAGAGTTGGAGGAGCTGTTGCTTATTTCAAAGGGCAGTTTCTAGATCCCAGATAATAATACTAGTTAATAGCTCACAATGCCCATTGGTGTCAACCATTTAAGAGAGGACCGAGGTCTCTTTGTCAGTACAGAGAAAGAACAAGGCTGGAGTTCTGCTTGTGAGAGGTGAATGTCTCTGTTCAGAGTTCTCCTGGGTGCCGTTTGCAATGCTAGTGCTGCAACTTTTATTGGGGTACTTCAAAACCTGAAAGTTTGGAAAACTCGGAAGAATTCCTGTTCTTTAAACAGCAGGCCTGAAATTCGCAAGTGAGAGCCTGTCTTTCAGGCTGTATTTTATAATCTCTGATAGAAGTACAGTTGCTAGGTGTGCTGCCAAGGGAGGCATACACACACAGGACCAGTAATGACTCAGTATTCCTTTTGCTTCTTAGATGTCCATCTGCTGTACCTTTCCAGAAGGGCTGCTCTGCGTGGGAGGAAGGCAGTGAGGTCCAGGCCTGGGCCAGCCCTGGCCGGTGACGATGGCTGCAGCTCTGCTGGGCCATGCCCTGACCGTTACCATGACCACCACAAAATCCTTGTAAACCTCAAGAGCCTGATGAGGGCCCACACAGAGAAGCTGGCAGCTGGCATGGAGGCGCCCAGCCACCCACCCAACCACTTCCAGCAGCAGTTGGGCACAGCAGTGAATGGGGACCTGCTACAGTCACCCTCGACCCTTGGCAAGGCCAGCAAGACTGGTGAGATGCAGTGGTCCATGTGGGACTATGATGGGTTTGAGGGTGGCATGGGATTTGAAAACTGGCACTCCCCTGATGCGGGAAGGTTACCTGTCCTTGCTGGTGGCTGCTCAGCTCAGTTCACCCAGTATAGGACAAGGACTGTTCTTCAGGAAGGCTGCCAATAAGCACAGCGAACATGGTTCATGAGTGCCCCAGTCTGCCTGTAGGCTACAGTATAGTCTCTGTGTGTGCTGCACTGAGAATACCCTGTCCTGCTCCCTGTGGAGCTGGCCCAGCCCTGCCAGATGAGACATACTGCTCCTTGCCCAGCTGTAGGGATGCTTAATTGTAGCAAGCTCTCACTGATTCTGTGTGAGATGATAGGCTGGTCGTGTGCAGGGTCAGCTGTAGCATCCTGTCAGTTTTGTGCAAAGAGGAAAAGACCTGGAAGTAAGCTTTCTATCAGCTGTTTCCTGCAAAGGAATTGCAAGCTAGACAATTTTTCAAGAGGACTGAATGGGTAGGTGAGAGCTAAATAGACAAGTTATTTCTTTTGAAAATCTTTGGGAAGATACAAAGGACTGTGATTATGAAGTTTCTGTGTGTTTGTATATAAAATTTACAATCCATATTTTTAATATCTCTACACATCAATTAGAATACATGTTTTTTAAGATGAAGAAACCAGTCTTCAGATCACTTGGGAGGTAAGAATACATTTCTGGAATTTAGTCCTCTGTGCGATTCCTGAAATGTTCAGTCAAAGGAAGTATACCAAACACTCTGCATACCAAACACAGCTTCTGTAAGTTTGATGACTATGTTTGAATTCTTGCAGCCACACTGCAGAATTGTTCAGTCCCCAATCCTGTGACTGGCACTGCTGGTTCTGCAGCTTTGACCAACACCAGTGGCAGTGATTTCCAGGTGAGTGGAGCATCCTGGCATCCAGGGAAAGTGGAGAAGACTGTATGAATGAAGTGTAGGCTTATAGCCTTCTGTAATGAAGGAGCTAAATTCAAATGTGTATCTCCTTGAGAAGGTGAAAATATTGGGGTTTACAAATATCTATTAAAAGAAGCACTGAAGAGGGAAAGAGTAATTTTGTCATTCAAGTGAGGTTTCAGGGCAGCAGCATAGTGTGTGTCCTCATCAGTGGAGTGGTTTTTTCTTCAGAAGTTTTTTGTCTTGACTCCGCCAGAATTTGTCTTAGTTAACTAGTCTATGTTTGTCCTTGAAGAATTTCTTTGCCTGGACAAAAAGAGAGTCTTTAATATTCTGAAAAGACTCTGGGAGCCCTGAGTTTCAATTGCAGACTGAGAAAAACTATGATAATCTTTGGAATTGGTTCCACCTCAGAGATGTCTTATTCAAGAGAACTACAGTATTTACTATAAATGATTTATATGATTCTAGTGGAAACCACACTTTATTTGGAGGGCCTGGCTTATCAGATGGCGAAGGATTGGAAGTAGGCTTCCTTTTCTACTACAGCATAATGTATATCCTTTGGGGTTTTTTCTCTCACAGAGGACAAGCAAAGCAATTTATACTTACTTGTGTTAAAAAAAGGCTTGATCCCTTACCCAAGCGTGATCATCCAGTTTCCTGTCTTGCAAATATCAACCTTTGTCTTGTGTTCATGATTTTTTTTTAGATACAAGCATATCCAAGAGGATTGGGTTATTGCCACAATAACATGTAAAGATAGAAATAGCCAATGTCCAGTAAGGCCACTGATACTCTAATATTTCTTTTTCACACAGCGCATCTTTGTCCTCTCATTTTCACCATGAGCTACTTTTTCATCCAGGACTTTAGGATCAGTCTGAGTGATGGGAAGTCACAATCAAAGAACTTGTCTCTGAGACAGCTGAGATCAATGTTTGAGACAGCAAATCATTCCAAAGTTTTTGGTTTAGTCCTTGCAGTCCCTGAAAAGGTGTGGTGACATTTAACTTCCTGTGTACACTGTGCTTGTCTTATAAGTGAAATGCTCACCTTCTCTTTCACCAGTCTTGTTAAATGAGATTATTTTTCCTCATGAGCTCCAGGAACCAGCAAACTATTAAGTCTTCTGAGTCCTGACTCTGCAATGTTTTATTGTTCATTGTTTCATTTCTGCCTCCCTCTGATCCTTGTCTGTCACATCTTCTCTAGATAAACTAAAAAGGTGTTAATTGTATCTTGGTGGAGACACTTTCTCCTATTGGTGTACAAGGTCCTGTAATGCACCCAAGAAGATGATCTGTGTTATAACAGCTTCAGACTGGGGTCCCCTAAGAAGAGGCAGAAGAAGTTGCAGTGTGAGTTGGTTGGTTGATTTGTTTCTATCAGGGATAAGCTCATCCCTGGCTGTTGACTTGGTAACCTGAATCTTGCTTAAAATCCTGGCTACTTAAGGCAACAGACAAGCAGTGCAGCAAAAGTGAAACACCTTGTTCATATTAAAAAAAAAGCAAACAAAAAACAACCAACTGAAAAAAATGCGAAATGAACTGTGGTCAAACATAAATCATGAAATTATAAAGGTGGTTTCCCTTTAATGAAAAGGCTTTGCTTAACCAAAATTTCTCAGATTCCAGCTTTTACCTTTCCTTACTTTTCCTCCATCCTCCTCAGTTTGTGGCTATCTTCAGGCTGGCACATCTCCATGAATCCACACTAGGACTTGACTTCATACCCAGCAGAAAGGGTCTCATCTCTTTCTGCTGTTCCCTCTGGGGACTTCTGATGTTCATGCTGCTGAGAGACCAAGTCTTTTACCAGCGTTTAATCTGTTATGACTTTCCTTATAATAGTTGATTCTGTGGCTTCCTATTCTCTAATTTATTCATCTGTGGAAGAAGCTTTTTATGAATCATTACCTCAGCTAGAAAGTCTGAAGATAATGAGGCACTAAGGTCTAATCCTTCACGTTAGATCTCTTCCGAAGTAAGATTCTATTTCACATAGCCACGAGTTTCTGTTCAACATCATGATATGACTCATCTTTGTCAGAAGAAATTACCCTTCCAGAGTCCTTTAACTCTGACGCATCTCCAGAAGAAACAGCAGTATGGACACTGGTTGTTAAAATGGGACTGACCTTTTCACTAGTGTAGGATTTGCTGCTTTTGAAAAACTCTTCTTGTCTTCTTTCTGCTTAGAATGTTGTTTAATTTATATGAATTCTATCAAAAAAAAGGACCCTTGGATTACTGACTGTATCCTGTCAGCTTCTAATGGCAATGAAATATTTTAGTAGCATTCAGACCTACTCTGTGGTGGCAAAGGTATTTTTGGAAATCACTCCTTGGGAGGATGTGTATGTGGACAACTACTTGAAGAAGAACGAGATATTATAGGCAGGGAACTGTGTTCCTGCAGTTGTGTTGTCCATATGTATGTTTGCAGTGTAGGAACCTTTTCCTGTCTCTTAAAAATCTTGTGGTTTGTGATGCTTTTATATACAGCAGGAACACTGTAGTTCTTGAAGAAGTGAAGGCAGGTAGATTCTCTTTGTCATTTTCTGTCACAGGGAGAAGTCAGACTAGATATTGCATGTCAGCTGCTGGAGGAGATGTTATCATCCAATCCGGAAATGGCTGCCTTTTTGGAGGTAACTCTATTTGATAGCAGTGCTGGGGTCTGCACTGAGAGCTTGTGAGTATTGTTGCATGCCTGAGAAGAAAAGGCTTCTTGAAACCAGCTTTTAATGGACAGTGAAATGTTTGCTTTGTAAAGCAAGACTGAAAAAGAGCAGGGAATGAAAAGGTACCCCATGTTTTTGAGAATGAGATGTTAGCCTGTGTTGGCCAGGTTTTGGTGCACAGTTTCATGGGAAAAATACATAGTGCAGGTGCATTCATGGTGATGAAGTGCAAGCTTTTTAGGTTATAGGATACTGTCTTTGATCTTAAATCATGGAGTATTTTGAAGATTGCCACTGAAGGCAAAGATTTTTGTTGAAAGTTCAGGGAAATGGTTAGATTGAGTTACTAACTTTCTGGTTTCTGTGGAAAATGCAATTTATGACTATTTGGTTGGAATACAGCATTTTCCATTTTTTATACTTTGTGATATCCTGCAAGTTGTGATTGCCCTTTGTTCTACCTGTGCCTGGTCCTCCCTGTGTACAAAACTGTAATTCTTACATGCAGTGTAAACAATCTATGTATAATGTAAATGAGCAGTGTTCACCTTGTGTTACGTGTCTTTTTGGAGGGGAGAAGAACAGTTATTATTGTGTCCCTAAAGAGATTACAAGAAAATATGGAGTGATCTCTGGGTTTATATTTTTTTTTCTATTCGTTTCTCTTTTAAGGAGAATATCATGGGTCAATGTGAACCTTCAGGAAGTGAACCTGTGAGTGTCACGGTAGAAGAGAAAACTTCAGCTGGCAACGTGAGCTGTGGGAACAATTCCCCCGAGCCAGAGGGCCCTGGTAAAAAGAGAGTCTGCATGTTTTTAGAGATGACTGAGACAGCTACTCTGAGCCTGACTTTTACAGAAAGGGGAGAGCGGAATAGTCGATCCAAGAGCTGATGGTAGAGTTGGAGGAGCTGTTGCTTATTTCAAAGGGCAGTTTCTAGATCCCAGATAATAATACTAGTTAATAGCTCACAATGCCCATTGGTTTCAACCATTTAAGAGAGGACCGAGGTCTCTTTGTCAGTACAGAGAAAGAACAAGGCTGGAGTTCTGCTTGTGAGAGGTGAATGTCTCTGTTCAGAGTTCTCCTGGGTGCCGTTTGCAATGCTAGTGCTGCAACTTTTATTGGGGTACTTCAAAACCTGAAAGTTTGGAAAACTCGGAAGAATTCCTGTTCTTTAAACAGCAGGCCTGAAATTCGCAAGTGAGAGCCTGTCTTTCAGGCTGTATTTTATAATCTCTGATAGAAGTACAATTGCTAGGTGTGCTGCCAAGGGAGGCATACACACACAGGACCAGTAATGACTCAGTATTCCTTTTGCTTCTTAGATGTCCATCTGCTGTACCTTTCCAGAAGGGCTGCTCTGCGTGGGAGGAAGCTAGCAAGGGAGAGCCCGTGAAAATGGGCTACCTGGGATACCCCTGTATATAGTTATATTTATAGATGTATATAGCTGTAGGTATATGGATATTTAGGTAGGTATATTGATATTTGTATATTTACATATAGACAGTACAGTTGTAGCAATGTGCAATAAATTCGATTTTTTAAACTGAATTTGATATATGTAGATTTATATATAGCCAACAGACTGACTGCTCCTGGCTCTCTCCCAGGCAGTAAGGGCATCCTCCCCTAGCACTGGGAGTTCCTGTCAGTCCCCCGGGGTGGAAGGAATAGCAGAATTACTGCTTCCACTCTGCATCCTCCTTGCAGACTCTGAGAACCATGGACACTATGCTGGAGGTGATGGTGCTCAGCTCTTCTGCCTCCAGAGTCGACAAATTGCTGCAGGACAGCTTTGAGGTGTGGCCTGTGTGAAGAGTAGGGATCACAGTGCTGTTCCTCACCCTTTGTGGGAGGGTTTGCCCACTCCTGGGTGAGTGGCCCCCAGCCCAGTGCTACGCAGGCAGAGCACGCTGTGTGGAGGGTATCCACCTCCCCTGAGGAGGCAGAGGCTGGCACCAAGCTCTTCTGGAGCACAGTGGCTGCAGAGGATGGCACCTGCCTGGCCACAGAGTTGGCCCAGAGCCTTTGTCCCAGGCCTTTGAGGGACTCCAGGGACAGGAGCCCTCCAAGACTTTGCTCAAGGTCAGAGGAAGCCTTGGGGGATGGTCCAAGTCTTGCCCAGGATTGGAGTTGAGCTGCTGCCGCTGGAGCGAGTGTCTGCTCCCAGGGCTCATCTGCAGCTTCTCTCTTCCCAGGTGCTGCTGGACTTGACCCAATCTGAAAGCACAACTGTGCAGAAGAGGGTTCTGGGGAGGATCAGGAATCTGATCCATGGGCTGGCCAACGTTTCCAAATGGAGGTAAGGCCCAGGAACCGTCCAGCTGGGAAATGTGCTCCTCCCTGCTACTCTCCCTGTCAGGCTGCTGCCCAGCTGACTGCTCCAGGGGACCTGCAAGGCCTTTCACAGCCCAGACTCACCTGGATCTAGCCCTGGATACTGCTGTTAGGGAAATTTCCCTGTCCATCGAAGGGCCACTATGGCAGTCATACTTTCACAGCCTGAGCTAGGACCAAAGACCCTTCGCAGCTACACACCCCACACTGACACATTCAGGCCGGGTTTCCTTACCAGCCCAACCCCAGGTTTCCCATAGCAGAGTCTCAGATGTCCTAATCCTTAAAATTATTTAATCTTGGTGGTCTAGTGGTTAAGGTGCAGGACTCTCACCGCTGCGACCCGGGTTTGATTCCCAGCCCCCCGGGCAGATGGAGCTCGT